GCTTGCAACAAGTATCCAATTAATTTTGTTTATCTTTTGGTTTTGGATCTGACTCCAGTTTATGCCAGCAAGCTTAGTATATGAAAACAACCAAATGGCATGAAACTCAACCATTTCTCTGGCCACCAGAGTAGATTATAGATTGCCACTCCAGCGAGGTTTCAAGCCCTTATTGTGACAAATCAATACCAGTATTCAGCCACCTTATTCCCATGACAAGTTCTAATGAAATTTTCTTTGCTAAGAGTAATGGTGTCTGCTACTGGGTAGTGACTAGTCCATTCATTCAGATAATCAAGTACTGTAATGCTCTCAAGAACCCCTGGTAAAAAATAAAGAAAAAAGAAAACAGGGTGGCGAGTTCTCAAGGAATCTGGGGAAATTGCAACTCACATATCAGCATAGTTTGGGCAAATTGGCATCTTTCAATAGCAGCCTAACTTAAATGCTGGGAAAAATGAAGAGGCTGTTTGTTGCTTGCTTAATGTGAATAGGGAGTCAAGGTTTATTGACAGTGAATCAGCGTATTGGGTGCTGAACTGTTGCTGTACTGATTCCACATCTAGAAAGGGAATTTAACGAAGTCAAAGATAGGGTGTAAATGCTGTTTACAAAATGGTGGTCAGTGAAATGATAGTTGGATTCTGATCACCTAACCCACTGACCACGAAAGTAGCAGCTGAAAGATGATGATCACAGATGTGATATTGAAGCAAAATAGCAAAGATAAAGAAATGATAGGATTTCTCTACAACTCTTTTGTCTTAAAAAGAAAAAAATAAATAATCAGAGATCTAGAATTCTTATTTTTGGTGCACTTTTCTGAAGAAGGCATATATTCATTATAATAGTGTCCTGAGTTCAGCAGTAGAAGTCATTTTTTCTCCTTAGTAGCTGGTGCAGTGCTATGTTTCCGACTTTCAGCCTGGGAACAATGCTGATAACACCGATGTTTTTAGTTGTTGCTAAGTAATGTTTACTCTGACGGAGGACTTTCTGAGTCTCATGGTCTGCCAGGGAGGAGGGGAGGCCAGGAGGAAGCAGAGACAGGACACCTGACCCAAACTAGCCAAAGGGGTATTCCATACCACAGCATGTCATGCCAGGGATGTAACTGAGAGTTACCCGGAAGGGCTGGGAGACTGTGGGCTTGGAGGAGGTATCGGTCGGTGCTCGGTAGGGTGGGGTGGGGTGAGTCATCGTTTGGCTGGTGCTGAGGTGTTGTTTTTTCTTCTCTTGATATTTCCCTTATCATTATTATTATTGGTGGCAGCAGCAGTGATTTGTGTTATACCTTAGTTACTAAACTGTTCTTAACCCGTGGGAGTTGCATTCTTTTCGATTCTCCTCTCTGTCCCTCTGGGAGTAAGGGGAGGGCAAGGGGGGGGGGGGGGGAGTGAGTGAATGAGCTGTCTGACTGGGTTTAAACCATGCGAAATAGATATATTTTACATTTTACATTTTGCATGTGGTTGATGATTCTGGACATGAGGTTCCTCTTATACAAAGCAGCAGGCATGAGAAAAGCCGATGGTAATCACAGCCACAGGCTGCCTGGGTGTTGGGTCAATCCCATCCATCTGAGACGTGCCATTCTAAGATCTCCAGACTCCTGGCACATAAATACTTGTCTGGAATTGTGGCTGCTACAAAGACATGGTAGGTTCTATAGCATTTGATCAGCAGATTCCAGTAAAGATAACTGAAAACTCCTTTGTGGGTTTCACTTTTGTCAAGGGGCAAAAGAAAAGTCCTGTTATAATGCTAGCCTGGTATTCTAGGGAAATTTGAAGCAAAACTACCAACTCTGTCTGGGGTAATTTAATATCCTTTGTGAGTTGCTTCTTCAAGAAATTAAATATGTGAATTCAGTAAGAATTATTATATATGCAATATATCTACCATAAATGAGAATCTTTCCAATGTTTTAACTGTTTAATCAGGTGCTAAGCACACAGAAATACAGATTCCTTGGCTTCTGTCTTATGTACTGGTTGAGGATTAAGCTGTCATTTGCAGGTGCTTGCAACTAAGTAAAACGTTCTTTTTCCCTGTTCTTTAGAAATGGGAAAATCATCATGGTAACCACAATAGCAGTGAATTATTAAATGTGTTGGTGAAGTACTCTTGACCTTGTCTTTCTTTCTCTTTACCTGCGTTCCACAGTGATGCTTTTGGCTGCTCATTTAATCAGTCATGTTGTTGTTAGACACCAGGGGATGAGGAGAAAGTGAGAAATCATAATGAAGATATCATTATTTAAAAAACAGCAGTAAGATTTGAAGAATAAACAGTGTGAAACATACTCAGAGAAGTGCTTACAGTTCTGTTCCCAGTCTGCAGAAACTTTCTGCTCCACGAAACAGACTTATTGTTTTAGAAACAAAACCAAACAAATAATACTATTTTATTTGTTCCAAAGTCGTTCTCAGAAATAAGGATTTGAAGGCCATAAGTTGTACCACCCTGCTTTTTTTAGAGCTTTACTTCTTCGTATTAATGACAATTAATGCAGAGTTGACCATGGAATATAGTTTGGTTTTTACTCCCATTTGTGGACCTTCAGAGAAAGTGTGAGGGTAACCTGTCATAAGAAAATGACGAATTAATTGCTTATGGGTCTATGACTACCAAAATTGTGAGAGGTAGATATTGAAAATCTGAAAATTCCTTTTACTCCTCAAACTAGTAAGGAAAGAAAAATGGAACATTGAAGGTCAGGTTGGATGGGGGCCTGAGGAACCTGATTTGGTAGAAAATGTCCCTACTCATTTCAGGGGCATCGGACTAGATGACCTCTAAAGGTCCATTCCAATCCAAACCACAGGGAGATGCAAATCTGAATGTCTTGCCCATTTCCAAAGAGCCCTGTATCTGGGAGCTCTTTCCATTTTCACGAGCTGAAGGGCAACCAAGAAAATAGGAGTTAGCGCAAGTGAAAATTGTAATGAGTTGAGCACTGCTGCTGCTAAGCTGAAGAACTGATAGTTCCTTTTAGACACATTGGGAGTCACTTTTACTCTCCTTAGAAATGTCATAGACACACGCCAGCCACACTGTCTGCTGTGTTTACAGTGTAAGTGATTTTGAAAGCTTACTGCTCGGTGCATTTGCCTTTGAAAATAATTCAGCTCTTTCCTTTTTATTTGACACTTCAAATGTTTTTATCTTGAACTTTTTCATGAATTTTTATTAAGGAAAATTCTTTTGGGAGAGGAATTGAAAGACAAAAATAGGGACCCAAGTGGCCCGCAGGCTGAAAGTTTAGAGAGAAGTGTCAAAGCCTTTGGGAGAGATGGGAACTCTGTTATCAGGGTGAGCCTCAAGAAGTTACGAAAATTGGCAAAATTGTGAGAAGGAATTCTCTGCATGGCTCCCACTGCTGTTTGACTTTATGATGACTAAAGCTAACTGTTGAAAACCAGAGTTTCCCTTGCTGCTGTTTGTTGTCAACTTTGAAGAGTGATGCTAAAGCTAGTAGAGCAGTGTTTTGGTGATGATAGGCTCATTAGGTGGGAGGCACCCATATTGATGGCAGCAGGGGCAGCCTGTGGATTTCTTGACTGATGGATATCCAGATTGTGGCACTAAGAAAGCTCAGTCAACTTTACAGTTTTATAAAAATACAGCCAAGGGATGCAGCTCTCCTTTTGTAATAAAGTAGCAGCTGTTAAAACAGTAATGTGGATTCCAGAACTGATTGAGAAGCTTAGGTTTTTGGAGTTTCTGCATTAAGAGAGCAGAGAAAAGTGTTACCTGTAGCATGTAACTACCTTATTGGAATTAGGCTTTTAATTTAACCTATGATTTCTTTTGTAAAACTGTCACAACAACCTGAATGAATAGTAGCGATTTAAATCTTTCAGTTTCATAATTCCCAGCACAGTACAGATTTGTTCCTGGTGTTTGCTGTGTGTGGAATTTTTTGTTTGGTTGGTTTTATTTTCCAAAAAGGTGCCTGGATCAATGGGATTGCTCTGGGAATAAGGGAGAGGCTATTTCTGACCTTGGTAGTAACTGTGGTTGGAGAAAATTGTTGCAGAGATGGGTAGGAAGAAGCAAAACGAAGAGGGTGGTATCTGAGGAAATGCAGCTCATGCAGAGAGAGCACTGAGAAGATCAGAGAGCAGACGGGGAGGGAAGGCAGAGGTGCGATGTGCAGAGTTTTCAAGGGGCCAGAGGCCAATGTGAAGAGCTTGCTACAGCTCATAAAGTGCTGAATTGACTGAAGCTCAGTTAGAGCTAAATAATCCAGAACATGCAGCAGAAAAAGGAAGGCTTGTGTATAAACCATTTCTACTCTTGTTATTTCTGATATGATAGCATGAAGTTTCCTTTAAGGAAAAAACAAAACAACAACCAACCAACCAACCATACCGAAAACAAAACAAAACAGAGCAAAACAAAACCAAACCCAAACAGCCAACTAAAAAAAAAAAAAAAGTAGAAGTTTAGTAGTTGATATTCTAACATAAACACCTTGGTTTTGGTGTCTAGTTTTCTTTTTACATTACAAGGTTTTGGTGTTTATTGGGAGTTCATTAATGGGACAGCCTCAGCAAATTCATGTCTATATTCTGTGGGATTAAAAGCCTGGTCTGAGAAGCAATCAAATATAGATGAAACCTGAGGTGTGAAAGACATTTGAAGTGTGGTTTTTTACAGGTGTCATACACGTATTTGAGGTAAACCACACCTTGCTTAGGGTTTATTATTTAAACAGTTGTCAGGTTAGGGCAGTAGCCACATTTGCTTAGGTTTAAAAGTAGTCTACAGGAACACAAAATGAGCATGATGTGTTGACTGTTACTATAATAAGTGCAGTAACCTAACCAATTTAAATAAATAGTTTGATACGTTATCACTAGTTGCTGGAAAACATATAATACAAACCTTGAAATCTGATAGTTCATGTTAATTTTGCTTAAAAATGCAGGGAATTGAAATAACAACTGAATATTATTTTGGAAGTTTTTGTAATTGGTCATTTTGTTTTTTAGGACATTCTTAAGGTAGAAAACAACCTTGGATTTCTAAGACAAAAACGGGCTATTTTGTCATCTCCGGTATTAGTTCCTGAAAATCAAAGAGGACCGTTCCCCAGATATATTGGCAAGGTAAGTCAACAAGGAACTGGACTTAATTTTGATATCAATTAATTGATCTATTTGTCTTAAAAATTTGCAATGCCTATCATGTTGGCAGTAATATCCCATAAAACAATCAGAAACGTGAAAATGAACAGAGAGGACTGTTTTTCTGTTTCTATTGCGTAGACAGATGAAAATGGCTTTGTGTTCATGCAAACATTAAAAGAATATATTGTGGTAAAAAGCAGTAATCAGAGATATATGTTTTCATTCAGCTGCTTTCTTCAGTAGGGGTTGCTACCTACCTGTGTATCTGTGTGTTAGACTGGGCTGAAGTCTAGACCAGGAATGTTATGAAGAATATCTTACTGCATAGTGTGGATTATCTTGTTTCTATTCTAGAAACAAGACCTAGAAGGAATTCATAAGGTATTATGTGTAAAAACGTCTTTATTTGATTCCTTAGATAATTTCTAGTGTCCAAAGGCAAAATAAGTCTTTGAAAATTTTTTAGTTTTATTTTTTATTGTTTGCAAATGTCTGACATAGAAGAGGAAAGCTTTTTTCTTGTGTTTGCAGGAAACCAAATGACAGTTCTATCTGCCACTTTTCCAGAACTTCAGATAAACAGCTTTATATACCAGATATCTAAACCTAAAATACCAGTTGTGTGAATGGCTATTTAGGCACCAGAAGTTATAAGCACATTAATATATTTTTCATGTTGGCAGCTTTGGAGCAGAGACCTTTATGCATTGCTCTGACTTCAGTAGGTGTATTAATGACATGACGGCCTATGCAGCTGTGGAGTCTTTTCCTGATTCCCACCTATATGATCACTAGAGCTAAATGCACAGCTTGAGGGCAGAATTTTACTCTACAATGTGTAACTTAGCCAGCTGGCACCTAAGCAGTTTTTTTAATAATAATGAAAGTTTGGTTTCCTATCAGTAAAAGGAAAGAATAAAATATAAAAATTTCATTTTCTCCCCTTTACCTGTCAAAAATTTATGCCTATCTGATAAATTTCTATAAGTTTTTCTATCTTTCTGAAGTACTTTTTTAATGTGTCCTAAACTTTTAAAAGCTATTTCTGAACTTTTCAGTTCATGTTTCAGTGTTTGAGCATTAACAATCAGTAACTAAACATGTGGTCTGGTTTAACATAAAAGTTAAGTTTCCAGTTGCACCGTGAGTGTGCTATTTTTCCCTTTCTTCAGTAAATTACCAGTGTAGTTTATTCATCTGTCCTGACTGCCTTTAGCTTTCCAACCCATGCTACATTGCCTGGAAATGCATAAGGTTGTTTGGAAGTGATTGCAGCAGCCACTACAGTTGAACTGCTTGTTAGCACTTATGTGGGAGCAGGGCACATGCAAAAATAAGGCAGCAGGGGAGAACAATTAATGCACTTTCACAATTAGAAAACAATAACGTAAACAAAAACATATGGGGATTGTGGAGGACTTTCTTCGTGAAGGTTTGGTAATATAAACCAGGAAGGACTTATTGCATGGGACAAATGAAAAAATTGTTTTGCTTTAATTGACTACAAAAATTCAAATTAGTATTTAGCTTAACAAGGAAATACATGTGTAGAGGTTGCTCTTTGTCACTGGCTTTCTGGCATACCCGTTTAGGAATTAGATTATTGTCCTGCCACTTCCACACCCTTCATTAGGGAATCTCTTAATTAAATAACTATCAATCATAGACATGCTGTGCTTGTAGGGAGAGAAATCTCACCTTTTAGCAGAACTTAAACTTTTGCATTTTTTCTTTCATTCCTGAGGGAAAACAGCAAGATTAAAATATTTTAATAAAATGTTGGTAATATGAGCCTTTGACCAGATGGCCTAGGCTACAGCTGTTGGCTATCATTGTGTTTTGCTTACCTCTTGCTGATACAGCACAGGTATGTGATACTCAATTTTTAGTCTCTATGTTACTTTTCTGGTTTGTCCACATTAAGTAAAATGAAATACAAAGCAGTGGGATGCAGGTTTATCTTGTAATTATGGTGGCAGGTTATTTGCCATTATGCTACAGAAATGTCTCCTAAGGCTAACTTGAGAGTGGTGGTTCTATGTATCTTTTTGATGACAGTCTCCAGACAGAGTTTAACTGTGGTGATAAACTGCATGATGGTACTTTTTGAAGTTTAATCCTTACACTAATGCAGAGCTAAAAGTGCAAGAAGGTAACTGCAGAGAGGGCCAACAAGTTCCAGCTCTTCTTCCAGTCATCAGGAGAGAAGGAAATCTACAAAGTGAGAATGTTTTAATATAGACTAAAAGGATTTGCTTGGATTTTATTGATGGACATATGATGAACCCAACATTTTATTATTTAATTTAAAGGAGTTGTCCTTTATAAGAAAGAATATTTTAATTGTTGACACAGAAGATCTGGAAGCCGTGAGTGGCCTAATAAAAATTGTCGGGACTTTTTATGCTCAGTGCAAGCCAGAAGAGACTTTTTTCTTTGTTACTTGGCTCTTTTGTCCTTTTGGAAGGAGGGGGTGTTTGTTCAGATGTTTTTCATCACAGAGTGTGTGTATATTCTCTGCCCCTGCTCTGGGCTCTTGGACAGCTGGCTTCCAAATGGCAATTAGGTGGCAGAACTGACCGAACAGAAGCTCAAGAGTAAAAGCGGTGCAGGATAGCAAACAAGATAGAAATCTTGAAGATCTGTGAGGAGGTAGGGTGTTTTTTCCTCCTTCAAGCATTTAAGAATTTGAGGCAAAGAGAAGACAGCTTCTGTTAATGTAGCAATATTAAAAAACCTGAGGAGAGGATAACTGAAGATAACTGGATGGAAAAACTGCTGGAAGCTTATTATTTTTGAGTGGCTATCTGATTGAGGCTATTTATATACGATGAATTATATGCTTCGCAGAAAACAACTGTTAAGGACTGAAGATGCAGCTGGAAAAAATGCCAAACTTCAGGAAAATGTTTGAAAAAAACCTGATAGAAGTATTAAGAGATGATCATGATCCACCAATGTGTGAAGAAAACCTAGAAAGAAGGATTGTACATACTAGAGGACATGTAAATGACAACAGAGCAAACAGTGAAATATAAGCTGAATTAACAAGTGCATTTGTCCTAGTGGAAAATTAAGCAGAAAATGAGGGAATGGGGAAAACAAGAAGTGGAGGAGGAAAACGACTTAGCTTATAGCTAGGATGGGTATTCAAGTCTGGAAGATAATGGTGTGCAGTAACAGAGAACAGAATGATGTGCAGACCAGAGGAGCTATACTTAAAAGCCTTTCCAACACTAAGAGAGAGATCTATGTGTCTGCTTAACCAGCTTCTCAGTTGATAAACTTCTGAATCCCAACTCTTGGCCTGAGTCTTCATGCAAGTTACTAAAAATGATGCAGAAGCATGTGAGTGTTTCTTACTTTGGAACTAGAAGCGAGCCTGAGGTCTGAATTTTTTTTTTTTTAATATTAATTTGTTTGTTTTCAAATTGTTACTACATCAGATGTAATAAGACAGTATTAATAAATAAATCTCTTTCTAACCCAGCAAGAAAGAGACTGTGATTAGAGAAAAATCAAGTTACGGTATTAGTACAGTAAAATTGGGCAGAAATATATATGAGCTCAATTTATTCAGCCTAGTACAGTGTTTTCTGTAATTCCAGAGTGAGTCTAATGATTTAAGTGAAAGGAATACACTGGAGTAATAACTAATGGATATAAATTTTGGCTTAAGATTAGAGAAAAAATTCTAGTCCCCAGAGAAGAGGAATTAATTTCCAGCAGAAGTACTGAGGAGGGAATACAAAGTTTGATAAATATATGATCACAGTTGCATAACACAGTTGTTTCTGATCCTGAAAGAACAGACACCTGGAGGTTTCCCTCTATTCCAGTGTTCTTGAAAATGTGTAATACCCTGCTGAGTCAGACCTGAATGGACCACTGGAGATGTCAGAGTTTAGCATCTGATCAGATTCATGGCTTGCAGGAAGGAATGGCACACTTCTGACCTTCATGGAAAAATACCAACCTACCTCAGCAATGAATATGATGAAATGAACAGCACTCCATTAAATTAAAAGGCTTTCAATGCAAGAACATGAATTATTAAACTACGGCATATTAATTTTCATTAAAGGGCATGTATTTGATGTCCTAACAAACCGTTAAGTGAAAACAGCACTTCAAATTTATCTCTTTTTCTGAAAGGTTTCTCTTCGCGCTTCCTTTTTTTTTTTCTTTTTTTTTGTTTAAAATATTAGTAGTCACACAAACAATTCCAACAGAATAAATTTCTTCTCTTTAACCAAACAGAATTTTAATTGAAAGCCTTGTTAAAATACTCCTGTTTACTTAGGATCTTTAAGAAGAATCTCCTGAGCATCAGATGCCTTGGAAAACTAGCAAATAATAATAATTTACCGTTATTTTTTAGTGTTTTATGTTGTTAATAAGATCAAAAGAATTTTTAAGTATTTGTGGAATAGTTTCTAATCTAGTTACTATGGTTACAAGTTTGCTGAAGATAAAGCAGTTCTATAGCAACAATGGAATTAAATTTTCTGCCCAATATTGAAATCTCCAGTACCTAATTTCCTGCTTCATAGTAAATCATGCTAATGACTTTAAGGAGAACACCAAACAGAAGAGATCTTACACTCTGAAGTTGTTCAGCAAACCGTACTACAGTTTAACTGTCACACTGTTTATGTTAACTTTGATCTCAGAAGTTGATATCTTAAACTGTGTTACAGACAAAGGTAAAGGGGAAATCAGTTTGTCCCTGCCAGTAAATTACTTATATAGAATTACTAACATGAAAAAAAAAACCTTGGCAACTTATTTTCATTGACATAGTAATTGAATTTCAGACTGAAGTTTGAGGAAAATGTTTTCATTAACTTTAGATGCAACGGCTGTTTCACCTTTTCATAATGTGTGCAGTTTGTGTTTTGTAGGTTTTGTTTTTCTGTTTTTTTTTTTAGTATTTTTTATTTTTTCTTTAACTGGTTATAGGCTTCTTTGCAAAAACA